CATGCACCAATATACATTTCGAACATAAAATAATGTTAACTTGAGCGGGTTTTTATTTGTCATGTTTTCACCACTGTCTGATTCTTAGGCAGACTGGAACTTAAACAATTTGTCAATAATTAGTAATTCGGTAAATATTAATAATAATTTGTACTTGTTTTAGCAACTGAACTCGGGAAATTTGACAAATCTTGAACTAAAATAATGCAGGATTACTGTCATTCAATATTTATAATAATAATTTACCTTTTTCAACTGTAGATAATCTGTTGCTGAGTTTTTCAACTTCACCTCTGAGTTCAGAAATTGTCTGCAACAGACACACATTTTCCGTCGAGTTTGCATTGCATCTGATTGACGTAGGCGTCAGGAGTCCACTGTGTTCCTGAAACAGAAATGTAAAGAGTATAATAAACATTCCCAACTTTAAAGAAAAACAAATTGAATTGATATATAGATAAGACTGTCAAAAGGTCTTGAATAGTTTCTACTATTTACTCTTGACATTTGATGATAAGACAATTCTGAACTAACGTTAGACTAAGACAAAGATATCTGCAGATACAATTTAGAACGATAGACGTAATTTTGAGATGATATCATGGCAATATTTCCGATATTCATGATATCTTGTATATTTAAGAAATCGTTAACTGCATCTTAAGCAATGAAAACAATCAACCATTGTGAAATAGATTTTCCAATATAGAGTCTCCATGGTGCATGCATACGTCATCTAGGATCTGACTAAAATGTTAAAAATTGCTTGCCATTTTAAATTCGTATTGTCAGATTAAATGTTCCAAATGAATACCTGTTGTTTTTTTTAATTTTTTTTTTGTTCAATTATATGTTACGGAGATTAGTTTGGCGTCCATTTCGTTGGACTTTTAGGGGCCAGCTGTAGGTCGACTCCGGGTGCGGTATGTTCTCGCTGCGTTGAAGACCCATTGGTGGCCTTGGGTTTTTCTACTCTTTGGTCGGGATTGTTGTCTTTTTTGCACATTCATCGTTCCCATTCTCAATTCTATACGTGCTAAACAGCAAACGACTGCATTTCCGTGCGCACAACATTTGTTTCTATAAAAATCTTAATCAAGTTCGCTTTTGACCAATAGTTTTTTTTTATGTATTATAGACTAAGTATGTACCGGGAAGAAAATCATATTTGCTAAAAGGTGGAGTTACATGGCAAACACTTAATACGATCGATGGACTTGTTTTCAACAGACAATCTGCACACCTATGGAACCACGTCGGCGATTTGTTCCTTACTTATATCAAACAGATTTATAAAAGGGTTCTCGAGAAGAATGAAAAAAAACTAGCAATATCTTTTGATTTCACGATCTGGTATTTACATGATTTATATTCACTGAATATTCAAAGTCGTTCTGGGTCTGTCAAATGCTCCATCAAACTTGTTTCCAAATTTTAACTTCCAGGTTATCACAATCATGACAATGTTAACCCAACTTCAGACTTGCTGTGAAACTACCTACTCTGGAGGCGTAGTGAATCAGATGTTAATACGAAAAACAATCTAACTATTCCTTCTTTTCCAAAGTATCAATATATTTGACTTTTTATGCTTTACACCAGCATTCCGCATTCTTAATTGAAAGCTTAAGACACACTGAAAGAAGTAGTTCAGTTTTGTTTCATAAATAAACATGATTGACTGTAATCTGAATTCGAAATACTGCCAACAATGCATACCTACTATCAGGACAAACGTTGTATTCCAACGACCAACTTTCCTGCCTATTTTCAGTATTTCAATTGAATTGTGTTCCTTATAACAGTAGGTTGTTTACCAAGTAAATCAGAGATTTATTTTATCAATAATTCAGGTTACCGCTGGTGTATATTTATATTTTAGAAAATCTTCAAATTATAAACATTTCAAAAGACAACGCAAAATATACATGATCCAGCGCACAAACAAGTATATTGATTTGGGAAGGGATAACTCATGCTAAGTAAGAGAAAACAGCTCCGATTCACACGAAAAGTTTACCAAAACTGACATCAATTTTTTCTTTTTATTATTGACATCCTATGTGTTGCTTTAATGGAAAGCGTTTCTCAACAGACATAGATATAAGAAGATGTGGTATGAGTGCCAATGAGACAACTTCCATCCAAGTCACAATTTGTAAAAGTAAACCATTTTAGGTCAAAGTACGGCCTTCAACACGGAGCCTTGGCTCACACCGAACAGCAAGCTATAAAGAGCTGCATTCTTATGGGAACAACTGTGCTTCTAATCTTGTCGACCTAATCCTTAATTCTTGTGAGACAGACTTAATGCAGGAACCGTTCCGTTTATTGTATTATGATATCCGTTCATACAATAATTTAGTGTTTGGTGCCTTTGTTTATCACATTGAGCTTGAAATCCGCAAATTCAGTTAAGCAGGAAATGTCTATCCTTTCGAAGCACCTGAGTCCACTCCGGGTTTTAGTGGGGTTCGTGTTGCTCAAATATTAGTTGTCTACGTAATATTTGTTGACCTAAATGTTTTTGTTCTTTCTACTGCTGTCTGTTTTTGTGTTTTATTTGGCCTATGGAATTTTAATTGCCCATTGGTAATTTTTTCCTCTTTAGGACAATTAATTCATAACATATATTATGATACTGAACGCCCCATGTCCTTAACTCAAAACAATACGTTGAACGTCACCAATGAAGGCTATCGGTAGTGATAACCTCTATTGCTTAATTCATCTACAATTGTATTAATTAACCAAAAAGTCACATGCTAGTATATCCTTAACCCCATTATAATTTTTTTAAGAGTTTATTGGTAGGTGCCATTTTCTGTATTCTTGAAAAATGGAAAGGGAGCCTTTCTTTTAAACCAAGGCGATTTTTCCTTAGTTTGTATGAATAGACTAAATGTTAACATTCACCACTTATTTATCTAACTTTAGATTAACTATTCAACTGAAATATAACATTTTTCATTACAATTATAGTACTTTGACAGGCCTTTGTTTGTCTGTTCGTTTCGTTTTCTTTTGACCATGGCATTCTTCTTTAACAAGTCCCTTAGTATAATCTTCCTTTTAATCAGCAAAGTGTTAAATGTTTTCATTTATTTTTTTTTAAATATTTATATTGTGCGGTTCATGCTATTATTTCGGGGATGTGATTGAGTTCTGAGACAAGCATGTTTTACTCTAAAGATAAGTTTTGACAAGAAAAGCATTTACAGCAGATTGATTGTTGTTATGTTATCGTCCAAATATTTCATGCATTATAAGGACGAAAAGAAAAAAATAATTTATACAATAAGTAGGTTCTGTAATGTTAGTATTCTGTATTGTTAGTAAATCGGGATAAATGGCGGACACTACCTACGGACGCCTCCTTCGGTTATTACAAAAACGTTTTAACGTGCAACGTATTTAATAAGTTTTAAACAGTGAAAATATTTTTGTTTTTCAAAGGAATTTTGATGTTCTTATTGAGATGTCAAATGATTTGCTTTTACCTTAATTAGTAACTAAAATAAGTTACAACATTAATGGTACCAGTTTTACTGCACCCGATGCGCATTTCGACAATTGAAGTTTTTTCAGTGATTCTTGAGTTCAGAATGTTTGAAAATCCAAAAGCTATTACAAGCGTTGTAGAGCTGATCAAAACCAAAAGGGACCTAACGCATAGCCAAATCCGGACAAGGAATCAGAGCCTTGCATGAGAGGGATATATTCCTTAATTTAAAATGATTTCAAAAATGTATAACTGCAAATTTCAATCAAACAATATCGATATTTTCATGCCAGTACCGAAGTACTGGTAATAACATTAACGATACCAATTTTACTGCACCAGATGCGCATTTCGACAATTAACGTCTCAGACTTCTGTAAAGCTCGAGGCCAAAAAAATTCAAAATACAAAACATATTACAGAATGTAATGCCTCATAAGAATAAAAAGGATACAAACAAAATCCAAATCAGAAATCAGAGCTTTGAATGACGGAGATTTATTCCTTAATTTAAAATCATTTCAAAAACTTTATAACAGCAAGCGTTTGCAAGCACTGAATGGTCCGTTGCATTTTATCAACGAATCCGAAATAACGGTATTGTTTTGTTGGTAAAGAATGTAACAGAGGAGGATATGCTTACATTATCAAGAACACATGAGTTCACATTCGCAATATTCGGTTGGGTTTGGTTTCATTTCAAGTCTTTTGAGGACTGTATTTTTTTTTTTTTTTTGTGTCTGTTGATATTTTTTGCTTTTTATCATAGGTATGATCCGTTTTTATCATACTTATGAAAATGAAAAATTGGATATAGGCTAAGAGACAATGTAGTTGCAATATGTCAATTATCTGTTTCTAGAAAATTGCGTGTCTAGATGTGATTTCTTACTATTGTACAAATACTAACGACCGGTCAAAACAGAGTATGGACGACAAAACTTTCAAATGGTGTTTGATAAAGCCCTATGTAATGTATATGCATGGAACATTAAATGATATGCTCAATGTCACTCCACTAATAAAAGGTACTGGAAGTGAGAAGTTACACAAACTATAATATTCGATTTTGCCCTTATGTAGTCCTAGCGGAAATGAGAATAGAGAGGCAGCACAAATAAACAATATTAGATTTTGTGGGAATGTGCAAAAATGCTTTAAATAGAAGAGGTAATAAGGAAATTTACTCAAAAGATAGATAAGAAAAATATATTAAACAGGGGAAGGAAGTTCGAAAGACAGTTATAAATTACGTAATTGCATGAATTACTCTTTGATAAATAATAGGGTGGTAATCCTTGAATGGAAATAGTAATATTGATTTACTAATATGTCTGATATATATATTTTTGTTATACATTGTTTTTTAGCCGACCGTGCGAGACCCTTATGTGTAGTCAAGGTCGTTCAACACCCCCTAGTATACATTGTTTCCGTTTTATACTTTCTTAGATTGTGTGCATTTAATTTTGTAAGCATTAAGCAAAGGTACCATAAATTGACAACATTTTCTAAGATTTATTACAAAGGCAAAATCTACAAAAAAGATTTTTGAAAATTAAATAAATTAGATTAGTGATGAACATTGATAGTTTAAAGATTTACAAGAAATTTATCTCATAACACAAAATTTACAAAATCATTTTTGAAAAATAAATAAATTAGATTCGTGATGAACATAGATTGTATAATGTTTTATAAGAAAGTTACATGTATCTCATAACAGTCAGATATAACCGTATTTGTTCAAATCTATAATCGATAGGTTATCTTCATCAGTTTTACGTGGAACTCCCAGCTCATCTTTGTCCTCAAATGCATGGTTGTCTTTCATTTCCATCTTCTGCAACGAAACAAGCATATTATTTGGTAGAATTCTCTAACATCATAAAACAACTAAAATACTCTTTACCTCTTTTATTTCCTTTTTATTTATTTTTGTAACTTACTGTTATTTGTAAAAAGTAAAATAACCAAAATACCGAACTCCAAGGAAAATTCAAAAACGGAAAGTCCCTTATCAAATGGCTCAAACACATCATACGAATGAAAAACAATTGTCATAATCTTGACTTGGGTCATAATATTGACTTGGTACAGGCATTTCCTTATGTAGAAAATGGTGGATTAAACCTTAAAATTAATGCACTTTTATTGTACACAATCAAAGATAATTTTTAACATCAGATACATAAGACATGTATATAATTATAGGGACTTGGTTATTTTTACCTTAATTATACCACAACTTCAAACCAAAATGCAGATAGATGATTACGTTAAACAAAGATTGTCATATAGAATGTAAATTTATATATTATTCATAGAGTTGACAATTTGATGACTCAACAATTAAAAAAATAGAGGGATTGTTATTAGATACACTGCATTTAATTTGTTTTGTCAAAATAATGCATTTAACTTGTTTTGTCAAAAGAATGTATAAAACTTGTCGTGTCTTAAGGAAATATAAGTATTGTGTGATCATATCGAGGTCCTCTGTGGGTACACCAATTGGGCAGGACTTAATTAAGCTGAATAAGGGTTACTATCCCAATCATACAAGGGTGTCTGTTTAGATATGGGGGGTGCATAATTATGCAGCCACGTCTGGCCAGAACTAATGGCTGTTCGTTTTAAGTCCGAAGATTTAATGTTCTCAAACGTTGGAGCGTACCTGATGAGTCATTTCGGGAAGACGATTCTTGGACACTTATTCGGATTTATACGCTTATCATGGGATATAAATATATGAAAATAAAAAATATAAGCTAAATACATATGCAAATACATGTATAAATACTTAATAGAGAATTCTGAATAGCTGACGTACGTTATGAATATACTTTATTTTAAAAAGGAGGAGATGTGGTATGGTTGCCAAAGAGTCAAATATCCACCTGCGTATAAATTAGAAATCCTAATGCACAACTGTAACTACAAAATATTCTTTAGGAAGAGAGACAACTCTCATTCCCCTATACATGTACATACGTTTTAACTAAATTTATTTCTCACGTTTGGTGTAGATTACTATTTCGCTGGTGTGTTTCTCTAATATGTCATTATATTCCTTCCTATGTATTTGGTATTGCGTATGTTCGTATCTATTTACTATGATTGTTTAATTTTGCCCATATATTTTGATATATAGAACCCGTATTTCTATCAAAATTCTTGTTAAAATATTTTACACTTTTCTTACATTTTCGTTTTCCTTAATCTTATTGATTTGCTTTACACTTTTGTATCTCGTCCAAGACAGCTCAATGAATAGTATAAGAAAGCTTATTCCACATCCAATTGCCATGACGATAAATATGCCACCAACGGCTTCCATAGATAATCCCTGGTTCCCTTCAGTGGATGGACAGGTAATCGTACTATTCTTCCACCACTTGTCTTTAAGCTCTGTTATAATTGTTTCTGATTGCATTTGTAATATTCTGAAAGAATATGATCATAACTTTACTTTATTAAATAAAAATAAAACGACAGCCAAACAATTTTGCAATTGAAGAAGCAAGTGATTTCTAAAATATTTGCGAATGCATATTGCAGATTAATAATATAAATATAAGAAAATGTGGTACGATTGGGAATAAAACAAACAAAGACCAAAATGACGAAGGCGTTAACAAAGATAGCTATGTTTCAGCTTGATCAAATGCAAAAGTAGCGCATGCTTTTCTTTCTCTATTCCGCATGTGTAAGAAACTATTTTCTATGAAAAGACCAAATGTATTTAAAATCTTCACGATCAATCTATATTTGAACGCTATATTAAACATATGAAACTGATTTAAAAGTGTTTTTAGGGTATTTATATTTATCTCGTTTTTTTTTTTTAATTAGATGTATTCTTATATAATATTCAATTGCCAAAACAGATTATTATATTTGGTAATATGAACAGAAACACAATGAGTTAATCTAAATCTTATCAAGTTCATTTGTTTAACTCCAAAAATAAATTCTCAGTAAATACGGCATACAGTTATCTAATTGCAATTAAAAGATAACTGTATTGTATTTTAAGCATGGTCTTCGTAAAACATAGTTTTTCCTATCGGAAATTGAGTTTACCTAGAGACGCGAAGCGGGGCTAAGGAACCGGATATTTGCGATAGTAAGTTATAAATACGCCGTCATTTCCGATAGGAAAAGGGGAGAAGATACAAATGGGCCATCAAAATAATTCAAATAAAAATAGACAACATCATGGCCACTCAGAAGGGCTATCTTTCAACACGTTTTAAATTAAAATCCGAAATCGTCGAAACGTCCAGCATTGGATATTGTATCCTTACTTTTTTTGTACAGTAACATATACTTACGTTTTCGATATTGAATCCAGAAGCGGAGAGTTTTGCTGTAAAACTAGCGCATACGGTTTTGAACTAAATGGACTACCGATTGTAAGAAGTCCACACTGTTTATTCATTTGATACTTAATCATGGGTGTTTCGTGAATGTATGCGAAATTGTCAGATACAAGCCTTTGAATACCATCGTCTGTTGTTTGGACTAGACCTGTGGATTGAATTGCATTCCATATCTTCGTATACTTTTCTCCTAGAGGATATTCCCATACAGCAAAATTGCCAACATTATCAGATTCATAGCTCATTTCTTTCCACAAATCGTAAAAATTCTTTTCTATATTAGCCATTCTACTGAAGTATGTTTCACCAACAGTTCCCTTTAAAACAGAATATGATATCGATGTCTGTGTTGATAAATCCTCCAATGATTCTATCGAGTAACTCAAACGTGATGACGTCATAAAAGCGGCCAAATTGGCTGTATATGTTCCCATCATTATTTGACAAAAAAACCAAAATCCAGCAACTAAAATTCTACTAGAAAATGTAATTGGACTGCGATCAGCACCTAAAATTAAAAGGAAATAATCAAAATAAAAATAAGGAGATGAGGTATGATCGCCAATGGGACAACTATCCACCAAAGTTCAAATAAAGTGGATGTAAGCAATTATAGGCAACCGTACGGCCTTCAACAATGAGAAAAACCCGTACCGTATCGTCGGCTATAAAAGGCCCCGGCATCAAAGTCTTGTGAATAGTACAATCGTTATCCATATTGGATAACGATGTTGACAATATCATTTTTAAGTATATTTAAAATCACACTTAAAAATTATCAAAGCCCTTTGCCTCACTGCTGGATCTGTTCATGTCAATTTTCGTCAGAGTTATCGCCTTTTCGGATATAAACTTTGCTCATTCTAAACTTCATTCCAGATCGAGTAAGAATCGTGACAAGTTTGTTTCATAAAATAATACGACATTGCCGATAAAAAAGTCTAAAAGTTTTTGAACTAGTTTTATTTTGTTATCACCACTCTGATTTAAACTGATATAAAGATGTCCATTTTATGTTTGTTAGAAATGTTTTTCAACAGATAGTCGGCTTTCCTAAACCAACAAAGTGCGCTCGATGTCTGTGTTGAAAAATTCAAATTTTGGCGAGCATAATGATCCCATTGAGCTTTAAAGGATATCATAATGTCCGCTTCAAAACTTGACCATGTTGATCTCATCTAGAAATCGACAAAAAGGGTCGGTGAAAAACTATTCTTTCTGACAAAAGAGAGGAAGTTCTCGTTGAGAACTTTCATTTTGTATGCAGCAACTTTCCAGTTTTCTTGAATAACATGTGCAGCAAATGTTCGTGTGGTATTTTGTAATTCAGACTTTAAAGACCATCATTCTTTGGTGTTCAGATGTAATATATCAAGAAACTAATATCGAGGTTCTTTAACAACTACAAATCGGATTAATCTCTTATGCTTTTAGAATGCAGCAAAATAAATGCATGGTTTTGAGTTGCATGTTCCTTATTATTTTTCATTGATGCACTAAATGTTTACAAGAAAATTTCTCGTTGTTATACAACTTGAACATACTAGTCACTCATTTGAGGTTAATTTTCTTGTGTTTAAATATAATCAGTCTCATAAACTTGTTTGTTTTGTTTTGACCATAAAGCTAGTATTTTCTACTAATTCCAATACGCTGTCAATTTTTTAGTTCTGTTAATAAAGTTTTTTGTCGTCTGTGTTAAAAATATTCTGAGCTAAAAGTTGGAGAAGCCAAAACTGGACAAACACAATGAGACCTATTTAATTACAATGTAACAACGTAGCAATATGACAGACTTTACCACTCGTATATGCAATAAATAGAATACTTGTGCATAATGTTTTTTTAATAGAATAGAAAGGAAAGGAATAGCATTTATTGATAAATAGCGGAGAGTATTGCTGTCTTTGTCGGAAGGTAAAGTGAAAACTTAATCGTTGAGGACCTATCAACAACTATCGAGAATAGGCATAATACAAATACTATTTCATATAGCTCTTCAACTGTTTCGGTACTTATACATCCCTCGGATTTCAAATGTTTGGCATTGAGCGTTCCTGATGAAGGTAAATCCAGAAAAGCGCTTCGGACGCATAAAATTATTAAACGTGTTGTTTTCAATTTTTTAGACTCCGATACTTTTATGATATTTGTTAAAACTGTTGCTTCATCCACACTACTGTTTTCAATATATGAATAAAAGTAGATATAGGTTATACGTCGATGACACAACAACCAAGAACAATCTACATATAAAAAAAGAAGATGTAGTATGATTGCCAATGAGACAGCTTTCTATTACTCCCCACTAGTGTTTTTAACATATTTTTGTCTACGTCATTACGTCGTTGGAACAAAAAAAAGTTTCAAAATGCATAATTAGTTCAAAGACTTTCACACAGAAGTATATGTTTCCGCGAAGGACAGCCCTGTAAAAGTAACTTTGAAAGACTGCTAAAACATGTGATTTATCCATATATTTGAAAATACAACCTTTTTCCTATTGTATTGTTATTTTACTTATTCGTATATTGATAAATGCAAGCAAGTTATTTTGTTTTTGGTTGTATTATTTAATCACTGTTACTGGAGTTGTAATCCACGTTTGTTCTTCTCTCAAAGACCACAAAAGCATGCATGCATTTGGTTTGTGGGGTGGTTTCCAGAACAATCATCAAAATTTTGTTTTAACTAACCGAGGAATATATATATTGTATTATACATTATAGTTTCAGAACATTTCATATTGCTTGCATTTCTGACGACGAAATGTTAACCAATAATTCATCACTACCTCAGTGGCAAACACACTGATATACAGATACCTGTAATAAAAAGGGGTGCAGCTTTGGTGCACAGTGACTGTCAAATAAAGGATGCAGTGACATCCGTACGTGCAGACTTATTCAAGGAACTACCATTTAACTCGGGGATATGGTTATTAACTAAAAAAAATTTGATGTTCAGCTTTGTAGAAGAAATATTTTGATCATGTACAAGGAAAAATAATTTTTGATTTAGAGTTTTTGGCACTTAATTAAATCGCATTTTGCAGAAAATAATAATTTGATCATTGCGTGGTACAAAAAAATCGGAATGAAATGAATATTCATAATCTTATCCCCCATCCCCAAAGTTAAATGGTCTTTCCGTATGATAGTTATCTTATGGAGAGAAAAAAAAAATCGTGTACAATATACCTGCTAACGTAATCGATCCCATAACGAACCATACGCATTCTTTAAAGCTAAATGGATTATGCTGTGGTTTAGCAGCAAACGTTTTCAGCTGGAGTCTATGGAAAAAGTAAAGTATCACAGCCGTGCTGATTTGAATACTAAACCATGTAACCCATACTATCCCTGTGAAAGCTGACGCAAATGCAAACATGTCATTGTACACTGTTGGGTCGCGCATGAGTAATTGCAGCCCAGCAAAATCATAATACGGTGCTGTGAAATCTATGACTGTCTCTCTTTCTGCCGTTACAGATATTGGTCCAATTCCAATATCTGCAGCCTGTAATAGAAAGTATCTTTGAATGACAAGTGCTCTCATTAACTTAACTTTTATATTATACTAAATATCAAGATAAAATCAATACAAACATTTTGTCACATACAGAGATTTCTTTTATCTATCAGAGAGATTATCATTTAATAATCTAAGGTCGATGGTATACTTCAGGTTTCTCCCTTAAGTAAATTTATTGTTTTCAATGAAGAAAGTTGAATTGAAAATGTTGCAGTCAATACAAGTCCTTTTTCAGAATTGAAACTTACTGAGAGGTTATTCTGACAAGAGTTGACTGTGTCCCTCTTTATGGAGATATATTCCTTCACTATTATGATTGCCAAGGTATTGTGACCGAAAACTTTGTAAGTTATAAGAAAAGGAAAAGTCGTCCCGTTGATCATAAAGTTTGGTACGCAATTCTAATATCAAGGTCTAAAAGGTACATCAGTAACTATTGATATTTTGTTTAGTAACAACAAGATCTGTAGTATAGATTGCATGTTTATAAGAGAGGCGAAAGATACCAAAGGGACATTCAAACTCTTGAGTCGAAAATAAACTGACAACACCATGGCTAAAAAAGAAAAAGAACAACAGACAAACAACAGTACACAAAACACAACATAGAAAACTAAAGACTGAGCAATATATTTACAAAAACTTTGAATAGTTTACAGAAAATATCGTCTAAATATCTGCTTGTATTGTTAAAAAGATTGCATTTAACAATTAGTATACACTTTGATAGAAGCAGAAAAAAGGTGGAAGGTAACAAGGAGGGAATTAAAATTTATAAATCGAAAGAGACCAACAAAAGAATGTCTAAACCAAAAAAAATACGTAAAATATAAATAACAGCATACTTAAGCCTACATAAAAAACTAAAGACGGAACAACACGAACCCCATTAAAACCCTCGAGTGTTCCAAAAGGGTAAGCAGATACTCTCTTCTATAAGAAAACTGAACTTAAGAAAATAATATAAAGCCATCACGAGTTAGTTGACCGTAATGGAATATCTGTATCACAGATGACGACGGATATGTTCCAATTGTCGTAACTGTAATTCCGTCCCCTTTTCTCCGAATGTGACCTACCGAATAAGACTTATCACCGGGTTTGTACTTACATGAGCAACACGACGGGTGCCACATGTGGAGCAGGATCTGCTTACCCTTCCGGATCACCCGAGATTACCCCCAGTTTTTGATGGGGTTCGTGTTGCTCAGTCTTTAGTTTTCTATGTTGTGTTTTGTGTACTGTTGGTCTTTTTTCTTTTTAGCTATAGCTATAGTTCCTTTGGTATCCTTCGATTCTCTTTCATTCGCCTCATTTTCTTATGCATCTTTAAAAATAATTTCACTTACCCCTCTTGCAACTTCACCAATGATACCAGACCAAGTTCCATCAGAACGTAGAACACCATATTCTCCATCCGGAACATAGTGAAAAGAGTACTCAAAATTAAGTCTTCTTGCTATCTCATCTAGTATATCAATTGTATAACCTTCATATCGTACACCGTCTGCTGTTTCTATTTTAGTTATAAAAGGTGGTTCCTAAAAATACAGTGACGCTTTTTAATAACGATTAACAGGAAAGTATTTTTATACGACACATCGAATGAAAAGACAAATTTAATAACTTAAAACGCAACAAATTTAGTTAGCAAAGACTGCAAAAAAGACAGAAAAACAAACGAAATATCAAGCTTTATAAATTCCACTTTTCCACAACATTACAAAAATCATACAAAAAAAACAAACGTGCTTTGAATTAACTTTGATGTTGTTCTTGGAATGTCGTATAAAAATCTCATCAGTTAAATTAGTTGCGCACAATTTTACACGCCCCCTTTTTTCATTTTACTTACATGTATCAGAACAACAGTTAACCTATTTTCTGTAACGTTGGAAAAAGCAACCTCCGTGGTATACAATCCATTCGATCTTGTCCAATAGCCAATCTGTATCAATTATATAACATATATTTTGACAGACCATTGGAGTGTTGAAATTGATATGATACTTTTAACCACTGGACAAGGGTGATATTTAAAGTTAGCACCTGTGAACATGTTATTTATTGGATGAGTAGGATTTATAATGCATAGAAATAGTTTATGAAATGTAAACATCATTTAACTGATAACATATATATATTAGTGTGAAAGAAAATGCGGGTTATATGCCAATGAAACAGCAACCCAACAAAACATCAAAGAAAACTGATTATACATCTAGAAGTGTTCATAAAGTGTTTATACATGATAGATTCAATAAAAAAATCAAATCTCAGACCTTTGTAGACTAGACTGCATAATAGTAAAAAACTAAGCCATTTAAGGAATGACTGTAATATTTTATCTGTCTTTGAAGAAATAACATAAAAGAATGTGATGCACACTGAATAACCCGCGTAGCGGAATATTTAAAAGTGTGCACCACATTTTGTATGTTATTTCGAATAGACAGAAAAAAATATTACAGTCATTCCTTATAATTTAATTCTAAACAAGGAGTAAACCATGATAAAAATGTTGATGACGTCCCGGTCACGACAAAATTATATGTCTATGATCTGATAGACAAAACACTTTCAGCCAATCAGAAGACGTGTTACATCCAAAATTAAATTATTCAATGATGATACTTACCAATGATTCAGTCATAGCACTTCCATTATTGTTATATTTTATAATGTTCAGTTGGGAAGAGGTATTGCTGGCGTTTATTGTTGTTGTTAAATAATCATTCAGATTTTGCTGTATAAGGAAAACAAAGGAATATACATTTACAGTTACTAACAGCAGATCTTAGCAAATTTATCCAGAAGTAAAAGAAAGTTCAGGTTCAATGTGTCATGCTTCTAGCAATATGATATAAAAAAATTCTAATTTAAAAAAAATATTAGAGATGCAGATACCATTACAGGTGTCACTGAAAATCAACCAAATGCTTTTTCCGAAGTTGAGAAGTGGGAATGCAAAGTTCATGTCCGCGTTTTGATATTGGGAAAAATATAGAACACTCGATTGTATATCATTCAAAGTTATATCAGATTTAGTTATCTGTGTAGCGTAAAAGTCTCTTATTGGATCTGTCAAATTATTTCCCTTAAAAAAAATTAACAACTTCACAAATAAACTTTAATCTTCCAAGAGACAATCGCATCCCTTGTCGTCATAATAAGATACTAATAAGAAAACAAAAAAACAAAAAATACTCACAGTTACGTATAAAGTGTTGTCGACATAAGTGTTAATCGCTTTCCATAACTTTGAAAGATACAAATCGTATATATGCTCATCTACCTGTAAGAAAAACTTTTCTTTTTAAACATAAGCAATACTTTGATTTTAATCTCGGTACAGCACGTTCAACCATCAAGTTTTTCGTTTGATTCAATATTTTTTATTCATTTCATAACACTACGCTTTTACAACCCTAAAAAGCTTAGAAAGAAGCACTTAATTACAATATTAACATTGTAATGCTAAATAAGAGGTAACCGTAGTTTGCACATGTTCAAAACTTGTAAATCCATTTTAGTACAAATCTTGATTTTAGAAATTGAGGGAATTGCATGAACCCAAAACGTAGAGAGACCTTGTGCCTCGTCGGGGTAAGCGTCTCCTACTATGCATGCATCTATTGTCTATGTCACGATAGGGAGCATAAAACAATCGGCAAATTTGCAGATCACACAACTACATGTATTCTGGTATTTTAAGATCGAAGACCAGGACAAAATGTCTTTCGTAAGTTGACACACCGACACCTCGTATTGGTCAACCAATTCGTCATGTGACCCTACAAATTTGTCGTGTCAAATTTTAGTCATTCTTTTTCAAAACCCTGCTGGAGGAAATTTTGTGTTATGGGCGAAATTCAGGAAGTTACAAGTTTAATCAAACTTTTCGTTTGTTTTGTTTTAAATATTCCTACGCAATATTGTAACATTTTCCCGAAGACCCCATGCATTTGTGTAGGCTTGACAGACGTCCAGATAATCATCTTTAGTTATACTTTATTTTAAATATCGGATCTATCAGACAAAAAGACAATACATTTACAATATGACAATGAAGCTAGTTTTTTTATTTGGGATTTTTTTCTCTCTGGTAAATGGGATATATCCAATATAAAACATATTCCGTCGCCATTACAAATACTTTATACGCCCGATACTTAGTACGTTATACAACATCTCTAAAAGCACTACGTTATTGTTGCATGTCAGTCAAAAGGAGGAATTGATAGTTTTCGGAATTTTGGATTCTCAATGCTCTCCAACTTCGTACATTATATGGCGGTTTTGCCTTTCAATATGTGAGCGTCACTGATGTGTCTTTTGTAGACGATCCGCGTGTGTGGCGTACAAAAGTATCCTGATAATTTGATGATTTACTGAAAGCTTAGGACAATATCGACCGATATCAGTACAATACCAATGTAATTTATATTTAAAATAAATATTACTTTACATATATAGGAATTGGTTTATTGATAATTGATTATTGAGTGCTAAATGTCAATTGGTAAATATTCAAGTCATGCGTAGAATGAGAACAAAGAAACTACATAAATAGGCTATGCAAAGTGGGTCTACCGGGATGAAAAAGGGGAAATTTAGAATACCACTGGAAAAAGATGGTATGTTGGATAAAGACAGGAATGTTGCCTTGTAACAGGCCACCTACGGACGCACCAAAGTGTTGTTGCGAAAGGTTATTTAACAACAGAAAGCGTGGCATTCTCCCTACACGAGGCATCAGATTTAACCCGGCTACGTAATTATACATCCAGCGCAGACCCTCTTTACCTTGATTTGATTATTGGAAGGAAGAAGTCCCGTTGGAAATATTGTTTATCCCTGTCAACCATATAAAGCACATATAAAAGCGGAGTAAGAATTGATATCCCGTTTTTAGAGGTTACCACGCTGTCAACACACTATAAAACCATGTTACAAGTATTTCAGGCTGTTTAATGCAAGGTAAAATGTTTTGGCCCATGAACATTTAAAAAACGTTGTCGAGTGTCTGTGCAAAATTTCCGTTCCACATACTTTATAAATATAAGGATATGTGGAACGATTACATATGAGCCAGTTATCCACCAGAGACCAAAAAACGAGGATGTTAACAACTTCATGTCAACGTACATGCATTCAATAATGAGCAAAGCCTATACAGTAGGCTGTAAATTGGTCCGAGATAACAAGAGGTGGAACTATTCAAAAGAGAAAATTGATAGCCTGCTTAAAAAATGATTAATGATTTAAACAATTAGCGAAAATAATTATATATGGCAGTCTTTGACAGACAGCTAAATACAACAACCATTGTATTACCTTCTTATTTGATTAAATAAGTAGGGTTTTTTGTGCTAAAATCTGCCACTGGACGTTAAACAAATGTACTTACATTTTTATGACCCGTATAATTAGCATCATACTGGACAATGCACACAAAAGAAAACATTGATATGTTCCCAGGACATTCAAATGAATCAATAGGAACCACTATCCATTGGTCTTCCTTTCGGTTGGCTGTATTATTTGCCTAGAGACAACAATTTATATAAATTAGTGCTGTAAAATATAAAAACATCCGAAATGGTAGTATATGTAAATCTGCATTATTTCCTTAGCATTTTTTTCAAATTACATTATAAAAGAGGGACGAAATATACCAGAGGGACAGTCAAACTCATAGATCGAAAACAAACTGACAACGCCATGGCCAAAAATAAAAAGACAAACAGACAAATGATAGTACAGATGACACAACATAGAAAACTAAAGACTAAGCAACACGAACCCCACCAAAAACTGGGGTGATCTCAGGTGCTCCGGAAGGGTAAGCAGATCCTGCTCCACATGTGGCACTTATAAAACTTGTATAGTTAAATGCCTTTAAGTAATTGTTAAAGATGAAAGCTACATGTATAGCTTAAGACGTAAGAGTAAAGTCATCTGCAATCTATTATATATATTTGTTTCTCATTGGTATACTTCATTTTTCAATTTCTTATTTTATCCTAATTCGATACATTCTTTAAATTCATGCTGAAGCTAGAACATTTCCTGTTGCTTTGTTTCAATTCCTATATTTACGGAATGTAACAGAACATGTTATATCTTTTTAACGGTCTCCTATATACAAATGTATGTCAATATAAATAAATTTGGTGTATTTACTGTCTTCTGATTGGCTAAAAGTATTACCTTTATTTTCAATGTTGTCAATTTTTATGGCGACACGCCCACTCTGACGTTGTGTATTCATACGCCAACATGTGTGTACGTTGTTATAATATTGTTAATATAAATAATATAAAAAGCTCTTTGAGTCTTATTTTTGATAGAAATTTATTTATAATGAATGGCTATTATTTATTTTGAATTTATTGAACCATTAAATTAATTTTTGACTCTGAAGCGGATTATGTAAAATGTGAAGAGTCAAAAATTAATTTAATGGTTCAATAAATTCAAAATAAATAATAGCCATTCATTCGCGGATTATGTAAAATGTGAAGAGTCAAAAATTAATTTAATGGTTCAATAAATTCAAAATAAATAATAGCCATTCATTAAATGGGTCTCTTAGAATGTTTTCTGTGTTATTTATTTCTTTCAAAATAACATTATGAGTACTACAAGTGCAGTTGGCGTATTGTGTATTTTGTACAACGAATCAATGTTATTTTGATCTATTTTTCTATTTTCAATATGACGATGATTAAATCACAGTTAAAACATGTAATGTAATTCTATCTCAACTTCAAATGTATGCAATTCACTATTGTGTAAATTGATTTAACACAGTCAATTAATTGACTTACTGCTACTAAAATATCGGTAATTTCTGTGTATGTTCCAATGGCTATAAATCTATTAGTTGTCCCATCAGTTAAACTCGTGTACAGGGAATCTGCTAGGTTGGAGGTATTCATGTTGTACAGGTTATACAGACGAACAGAGTATAAGGTATCGTTGTCACTGACAAAGACTGACGTATCAATTTCTGAAAAATAAACAGTCATCTGTCACTGACAAAGATTGATGAATCAATTTATGAAAAATAAACAGTCATCTGTTACTGACAAAGACTGATGTATCAATTTCCAAAAAATAAACAGTCATCTGTCACTGACAAAGACTGATGTATCAATTTCTGAAAAATAAACAGTCATCTGTCACTGACAATAACTGATGCATCTCAACAGTCATCTGTAATGATAAAGACGGATGTGTCAATTTCGAAAAATAAACAGTCATCTGTCACTGACAAAGACTGATGTATCAATTTCTGAAAAATAAACAGTCTACTGTCACTGAGAAAAAACTGATGTATATCAACAGTCATCTGTCACTGATAAAGACGGATGTGTCAATTTCTAAAAAATAAACAGTCATCTGTCACTGACAAAGACTGATGTATCAATTTCTGAAAAATAAACAGTCATCTGTCACTGACAAAGACTGATGTATCAATTTCTGAAAAATAAACAGTCATCTAGTGTTTCTGCTTATACATTGTTCAAACGTCGACAAAATCAACGCCAATATAAAATGTGATTCTTTTATTTGTTTTTTTTTTCTAAAGTTTTGTAAATTATTTACTGGTCAGAAGTCAGTGTCGGAACATAATGTAATTACGGCAAGGAAACAGTTTTCAGACATCAGTTTTGGTCTAGGAATTTAAAATATACAATAATAGTATCAAAGAATACAATCTTTAACAGTGGAGCAACATGTTCAGACAGAACGCTGAATGTTCAAAACTAATGAACTGTTCTAAGCAGGTTGACAAATCACAAATGGTCCAATATTCCAAAAACGTTACCAATCATTATTTGCATTTCGACAGCTGATTCAGAAATCATGTTTACCTTTTTCTTATGTACTGATATAATTCTTCAAAAATAAAAATAACACTTTATAAATTTGGTGCATGCGATGCGTTCTTCTGGATTAACCTTCATCATGAACGTTCATACCCAAAACAAATGAACGCCAAGGATGTTTAACTACCTAAACACATGAACAGCAATATGATACTATACAATATATAGTTATATATGTTGTGTACAAATTGTAATGTTGTACAAATTATAATTTGTACAGAATTTTTGTACAAGATATCAGTGTTTTATGAACTGCTTAACATAAATGGATGATACAAGCACACAGTCTTTTGTTTCGTATATTTCTGTAATATTTCCATGACTACATGATACAGTCTAATACTGAGCTTTGATACAAAAAACTTATCAAGAACACAAAAAGACTTTTTATGGATATGATTTTGGTGTAAGGAGAAAAATAAAAATAGAATTTAAACCATTCAGGTGTCCTTATTTCCAGTTTTAGGACAAGGAGAATAGCACTAAATGTTAGGTTGAAGTATATAAATTTGAATTTAAGACATTAAGCTGATAAAGTATAGAAGATTAACTTTTATCACCTGGTGCAAAAAGGTATTTGTCAAAAAACTTATAACTTGTACAAAACCCCTGTACAAATTATAATTTGTACAAACTTATATCTTGTACACAACATATATAACAACTAACCATACATAATACAATCAAAGCCGATATTTTTTTTCTTTTAATGGGTAGAAAATACACCAGTGAACAGAATATTTTCATTTTGTTATCTAACGTATTTTAGTAAACTCACCAAATTTTGTATTTGTCAGTAGAATAACCTCTAGGAATCCGCTGTCGCTCCTTTGAAATAACGATAAAGACATCTCAAGATATTCGTGGAAACTGGGCTGTAGGTAATATGTCGGTTTGCAGTCATCCTGTATGTTGGACGACAAAGTAACGAAGGATGTATTGGTCCATTGAGCCACATGACACATGACTCCAGTAGTATCCTTCTCAACATCGATCAAAACGATGCCATTCGTAGAGTTAACATCGTATGCCAACTCTAAAATAACAATATATGAAGAAGTTATGGTACAATTTTAATACATTGTAGGGGTCTCGGTAGCCGAGTGGTTTAAGTAGTTTTTAGCTACTGTATCACTAGCCTGTCAACATAAAGGTTTTGAGTTCGAACCCAGCACGTGGCAGGTGCGTTCAACTTCAATCTTAATTGAATAGGATTGTCAGTTTTCCTGCTGAAGGTCGGTTGTTCTCTCCGGCATACTTCTTCAATACAATATGGCCGCCACAAAATGGCCAATAGTGGTGTTCAACACAAAAAATCAATATCAATCGATACATTGCGTCCATTGAACCAATTGAAATACGGTACGTAAGGATGTTTTAGCCTTGTTATTTTCAGTGTATATGCTTGATAAAAGATTTAATAAATTAACATGAAAGGGTATATTTGTCCAAACTTGATAACTGCATTTTCCGTCATAAGAGAAATACACAAGTAAGTGTACACAGATTTATTGCTTGTTGCAAAATGTTTAGCGTCAAATATTACATAACTACACTTATTCAACTGACAATTAAATACTGTATTGTAAAAGTTTTAACTGTAACCAATAATCCATGTTACTGTTGGCGGTTTGCTCCTTCATATGGACAGGTTAATTGCTGTTCACTTAATGTCATATGCAATATTAATAATGTTGTCTGATTTAAATGCTTAGTCTCGTGGGTTTTAAATGAAATATCGACATATATATATAGTGCAAAAATGTCAGTTTACAAATTAAAATATTTTCATATTTTGTACTTTAAAGGCATTGTAATATTCTGTATATATGAAACGTGTATTTCAATTTTGCTCAGCACCATGGTCATTAAATTGATCGATAATTAAACATACCATCAGTAATATATGTGTCGTCCAGAACAAGCGTCGGCGTTTCATTGTAAAAATTCAGTGTTATACTGACAGAAGATGGGTCTGTTTGATTGAAAAACGAATCTGTTAAATCTGAAAACTTCTGTAGGTTTTCGTCGTCAACGAACACTCCTACAAAAATGAATTAAGCATAAATTATAATAAACATTTGTAATATTATATACGATTTTGTCCTTAGTTTTGTCTGTATTTTTGTTCATTAGCTGAAAAGAAATAATTTGAAAATAAAGATATGTGGCATAATTGCCAATCAGACAACTATCCATAAAAGACATAATGACAAGTCATCAGTAGTAACTGTTGAATTATGCATTGCAGGAAGCAACGTTTTGACAATTTCATTTTCAATCATTTTTTAACGTTCTGTAATTATAAATAATTTGGTTCTTAAAGATCCGACTATCTCATTAAGGCTATATATACTCTTAAACTTGCAGGACCATTTGTCTATCAAAGGTTGAAAAATAAGGACCGGAGAGAGATAGTTGAGGGGAAAACATTACTTTTACTGTTATTGAAAGCGCGATGTTTTGTAAATCTGGAATTGCTCCTAATCATAGGTTTTCACAGAGAAGTGTTGCTATATTTGGGTATTCAATGTCCAAAGTGGAACCCTCCATGCACTGATTTTTTGATCTGAAGAAGTCCGTTAAAACAAAATTAAAAACATAAGGAAGTTATTCAGGATGGGTTTCAGTTGATATGCAAGAATAAAGGAGTTTGTGCTAGCTTTTAAATGATATGATAAGTTTGTAACAGTACCAGATTTGTTTACAAAGTTACATATCATAGCTTAATGTTTATCATGTTTTTTTATCATGCATGTTCCTACAACATGGTCAATTTATAAATCATTTCCGTCGCTAGAAAATTTATATGGCAATTTGTAGTATCATATGATTTTCTAAAACTATTACGGTTTGTCGGGTAAATTTTGTCATTAACTGAGAAAAAATATCGAGTAATCTGATACGGCTTCATATATGCAGATTTCTAGGAATACGAAACACTTCCTGGTTCATACCGTTGCTTTATTAGAAATTGTGCTTAGCATGACTACACAACATTGTGCGTTCTGTAGTGTTATTGTCCATATTCGAATCCGTTTAAGCAGGGGCGGATCCAGCCATTTTTAAAAGGGGGTTCCCAACCCAGGATAAAGGGGGGCGGGGTTCCAACACGTGTTCAATGGTAGCTATGATATTTGTCTTAGTATTCTGACTTGCAAAAGATGTTTTGGAAAATTGTTATGTTGAAATCAAAATGCTCTGATAAAATGGTGATTCAATTTACTGTATATTAATTTTTAAACGACAAGGTTTTGCACTAATCTAGATGTGCAAACTGTCTATTTTGATACTAGAGATACCACAGAATATAATTTAGACATACAGATGTATTTTCTTCAGAAACGTCAAAAGGCAAACAATAATGAATAAAAACAATCAAATCTATTGAACCAAAAGCGGTATTAAAATAAAATAGGCAAAAATTCTCTAAAAGTAAACTTTGCCAAGGGATTCGCAACGTTAGTTTTTTTTAACGTTTACGTTTACAGTTGATCATGTGAAACTCAAATGATTGATTGATTTTTGGTGTTTTAACGCCACTTTTAAGCACCGCTTTTGGGCTATTTCGTGGCGGCCAGTTTTTATTGGTGGAGGAAGCCGGAGTGCCCGGAGAAAACCACCGACCTTCGAAAGGAAAACTGGCAATCCTAGTCAATTAAGATTGGAGTCGAGTGCACCCGCACGAGCGGGGTTCGAACTCACAACCTCAGTGTTGACTGGCTAGTGATTACAGTAGTAACTACTTAGACCACTCGGCCACCGAGGCCCCGAAACTCTAAAAATGCCATGGCACATACAAAATTATTTACTATGCACAGGGCGAAAAAAAACTCTCGAGGACTAAAGGTGCATTGGCAGTGCAATCGATCCTGTGGTTTTAAGTAGAACTTTTAAATCTTGGTGCGTTCGATTTCTAAACCAAAAATGTATACCTCCTTTAAAAACGCGCAGAGAAAAATGTTCAAAATTTTTTAATAAAAGTATAAATGCATGAAGAGATTTAACCAAACGAGACACAAAAATAAGTAAAGAATTTCATAGGTCATGTTAATTTACCTGAGAAGATGGCAATCTTAAATTTCTGTGACAATTACAACTTTTTATCAGGTACTAAAGTTTCAATCATCTTTGCAATATTTGATGAATATTTAGAATAAACGCCATTGCGACCTTGCACTCCGGATGACACTCTAATGAATAATTGTTATGAATGTTTCTGTGTGCATTATTTGATGTTGCATGTACATTCACCATTATTTCCTTTATTTCGTTTGACTGCATTGTTCAATCATTCAAGTAATGCTTAATGGCAATACGTAAATCCCTAAATCATTGACTTAAGAGATAAGTGAAATAATCCTCATCTTTCAAAGATAACAGAGAAGTGATTTTCTGTTGTGTACCCTTTGATCAATGATGAGTTATCTTATTTGTAGTAATTATACGGATTTCTAACTAAGTTAAGAAAAACGGAGTTTTCAAAGCACGCAATAGGGGGAAGGAAAGATCAAATAAAAAAAAGATAATAACCAAGCTAATTCCATTGATTTCAAAAAGGGCAATTGGTATGTTTCTTTGTTATCTATTTAATGTTCTAAATTTAGCAAATTTCAATCGAGACTCGAGTCCGTTAGAAGTATTTTAACGTTGTTGGATTAGAAAATATTCCGTAGGAAGAATTCATTGTAAATATTTTGATAGCAACTAGTGTTCGGGACTATAAAAAAAACTCGCACGAAGCAACAATAAATACCATACATATGTTTATGTAGAATTGCATGAATTTGAAATAAATTAGAGCTTTAAAAAGAAAACACGTATTAAATACTAATAAACGGGTCTTCGAGGAATATGTGTGTCGCCCGCCGTCTCTAATTATCAGCAAAAAATGCGAAGACCATGTTTTAATATGGATAATCCTGAATATAATAACACAAATCAAAAATTAAAATTGAAAGATCAAAACTGCATGTCCTCTAGAAGAATCTATAAATGTTTGGGGGAATTCTTTCATCTATGCAATTTCAGTGGAGTTTTCTGATTAACAATCTGAAATAAGCAGAAATGGCTAAGACCATCTTTTGGTGTGAGAAACCCAAAAAATCACACAGACCAAAAATAAATTAGCAGGTGTACAACTTCCAATTCTGTATAGAAGAATGTGTGCAAGTTTGGTTGAATTCTGTCGAGCCGTTTTCGTTTTCAAAGCGTTACGGCCAAACAAAGTGTGACGCGAACTACGACGCCGCTAAATGAGGGGCCGAATGGTCTCTACATGTTGGTTCAGCTTTGTTGTCAGGCGATACAAACTATGAGAAAGTCCTGGCCTGCCACAGAATAATGTTTTAGATAAATTACGTTTCTTAACATCAATGAATTTTCCAGGTCATAACTGCCCATTGAAAATCAACATTTAACGAAACATATGAATATGTAAAACATAGCAACTGATCAAATTGAGTCCATGGTGAGTTTGTTGACTAAATTCAAAACTTAAATTTATTGTCTTTTGAGACAGAAAATATTTGAGGGACAACATTGTATTCCCCGTAGTGACGCAAAAGTTAGAAGTTCAGGAAAACAATTATTTCGATTTTGCAAACAGCAGTTTAAAATAAATATTTGCCAACTTACAGATCAAACAATAATAAGTCTTTAACAATATAAAAACAAGCTATGGCCAGAATCTTATATGTAAACTTCATATCATAAGACCAGCGTTTCACAAAAACTCGTACAACTTAAATTGATCGTAAGTATATGTATACAGAATTTTTCATAACTTACACGAGTATGTTTGTGGTGAGATTTTAAGTGAAACGATGAGAAGGTGTCCAAGTACATTGTATATTTATAATAATGTCATATCCTATGAGCTATCACGTTAAAATCCTATCAAAAGCGTCGTCCTAAGTAGGATATATTCATTATAACGTCGATGATATGTCCGTGTCAATGTTATTAAGGGCATACGATACAGTTTTGATCCCATAATGAAATTTTGATGAAAATTTGCATGTAGGCTATTTTTTACCTGATTAAATCAAATATGTAATAAAAAATATACAACCATGTGCTACTTTTTGAGTAAATTGAGGTTGAAATTTCAAATATTTCCTCACAATTCAAGTTTGTGGACGTTCTTTTCTTTTCGATAGAAATACATAATTTTTTTTGTTTTAAAAGATAAACACAAGCTGTTTTTTGTTAAATTTTTTGTAATTTCTGTTTTATATAAACGTTCTATAAATTTGTACATTTCATTTTTACAAATAACTCATATTAATCAAATGATCATGATTGTAGAAAAAAAAACGTAATTTTTTGCTGTATATTTATCAAATTTTAAAAAATTGCAGTATTGACTTTTTCATGAAAATTGGTAAACATAATCTTCATACGTAATCAAACCAAATGTCATTTTAAAAAAAGGGGGTCCATGAACTCGTTTTCAAGTTTAATCAGATTGAATGATAAAAATCAGTCGAAAACTGCATCTTTTCCCGATAAGTCACAGTTTGACGTCGCGAAAATAACAATTTACGTTGGCAACGGCTTTACCTTCCCTGTAACTGTATCGTATTCCCTTAAAGACCAAACAGCCTATTGTTTATGCGCATCAACTAACGCAACTTGGTAGTGACATAAAAGCTCTATGACGTTGTTTCTAGCAATGAGAAAACGTCAAATTATAACGTCCTATTTCGCGTTTTTCATGGATTCCAACATGGTGTACGCTTTGAAAAAATACGTCTTCCAAGAAAAGAGGAATTAAGTGTCGCGCTGATATCTAGTGGAAATTAAACACAAATGGACACAAATGAAACTACACTATATTTAACCTTCGTTCTAATAAAAATGATAAAATATAAATTTTGAACTCGACTTTTTGCATTTACCCCGATCTGCATTTCATTTTTATTTTCTTTCACTTGCGTAGATTTTGTCTTTCATTTGCGCCGATTGTGTACAGGTAAATTATAGGTGAAAGTTATTGTTATGCCCCATTTATTATGCCCCATTTATGGGCATTATGTTTTC